AATCTGTGAGATGAAAAAAAAGGGGTGTAAAAATTGAAAAATCCGTTGGATGGAGTGAAAGGCGGAACAGACTTGTCAGAATGCTCACTTAACATTAATAGTTCAAAAATGTCATGTGTTACTGAAAAATCAGATCAATATTTAAAAAGCCAATCCTTTCAATACTGATTAGGACAAATTTGGGTAGTTGAAATTGGCCTTGAAGATACTGTACTAAAAGTGCTTTAGTCACAAATGGATGGAAGGAAAAAGGAGGTAGATCTGTTGAAAACTTATTCCTACCCAGCTATTTTTACCAGAGATTTGCCATGTATGCAAGGTATGCTAAACCCACATAGTCACACTCAGTACAGTTAGTTAAAGGTTCAGTGTTTTATGTGAATGCAGAATATTGGATTAATTTAATTCAGATTAATTTGGGAGACTATGACAAACTGACATATTCATTGGGAAGTGGGGACCCAGTAAATTATTTACTATGCTTGCATGTCATCAATACTTACCGGTAGTAAAAAAAAAAAAAATCACCAAACTGATTGCATGCAAAACAATTTTTGCCTGGACTTAAGTTGCTTTCCAACTGCTGTTATTCAAAATTCACATTTGAAATTCACTTCCATTACAAATAGGCTTTAAAAGAAGCATAGCTGAACTAAGAAAACTATTTTAAACATAATTGCAACTTGGGAGAAGAGAAATTTGTTATTGCATTTCAGACAATTAGCCCTCACCTCTGCAACATCTCTCTCAAAAAGACCAACATCAAAAATATCTAATCATATTCATGTCCTTAATACCAAAACAAGCCATTACTGCATAATGTGGTGGGTTGATTCACATAACAAGCTAAGACATAATGGTTTTACGTGTCGTCGAAATGTTACGAAAGGAGGGTAAAGTCTTACACCCTGACTTACGCGGGAATTACGTACGGATTCTGTCTTGGTACACGATGACGACAGATCTGTCGAGGTAGTCAGTTATAATATTTTCGTTTCTGAACACCAAAAGGGGTAGACTTTAATCTCAGTACAGGTTTCAGGGGTTGGTGTCCTTTTTTACATTTGATGCAGTGCATTATGGGCATTCTGCCAATAAATTTTTAAAGTTTTCACCACAGGGTTATCAATTTTATGAATCTAATATGCTTGTCACAGTGAACAATAACTAAAGTATGTATTAACTTTATGAAAAGTTTTCATAGATGCTATTTAATACCCAGCCATATTACTGCATTTTGAAATCAGAATCCTAATCTGCATGAATTTGGAAAACTTCTAGATAGCACCATTTATTTTTTTAGAATTATTTACTTACTAGGAGATAAATATATTTTCCTTAATAGTGGAAATATAGATATAAAGTTACAGTGCAGGATAGCTCTCTTCCCAAAGATCAACATTGTAATATCTAAATCCTGCAAAAGAATAAGAAGTAGGTTGCACAAACAAGATGTCTGATCTTCTTGTAGCCATAGCCAAATAACAGTAGTGACACAATGCCTAGCAACCAGACAGGACAGAGTGATTTCACAGTAGACCTGCCAGGTTGAAGCTGAACCCAGCCATATCAACTCAAAGTTTCTCCTCCAGGCGCTCTTGATTGTCAAGAAAGAAAATGCTGTATTTTCACACTGAAACATGTAAACCTGACTTCAGGCTGTCTCAGCAATGGGTCAGCAGTTAGATGGAGCTGACATTTTGAGGAGATGTCCTCTGTAGTTAGACATTTTTGTGCCAGAACAAGCAGGATGTGTGCATTTTGCCAATGTGTCATGCTTAGTTTTAGTTTAGCCATTGTGGTTTGTCAGAGTTGTGCAGACACAATGGTATGGGTTGATAAGAAAAAAATATTTTCTCTTCCTAGCAGTAATAAAGCTTTAAGCAACCTCTATTTGCATCAATGAATATTATTTTAAAGTCTTATATTTGGAAATCTTGCACTGAAAAAAGGGAAGTAATCTAGGATGAGATTAAGGAGCCCCTAAGTCAGTGGTTCTCAACCTGTGGGTCGCGACCCTTTTGGGGGTCGAATGACCGTTTCACAGGGGTCACCTAAGACAATCGGGAAACACTTATTTCCGATGGTCTTAGGAACCAAGACACCACTCCGCATCGGTCTCCGCACGGCCTTCGCCATTTGCAGAGAGAGAGACAGGCACTTTCGCTTCCCTTCTCTCTCTCTCTCAGATGGACTTACCTCCTGCAGGGCTCCTGATTGGCCCTGCGCCCGGGTGCCCCACCCCCTGGGAGAAGCGCGGCCAGGGCCTCGTGGCCTTTGAGCCGCCCAGGGAAGCCCCGGGATCCCTGTTGGGAGCAGCCCACTGGAGGCTCCGCTGAGCGGGCCAGCCCTCCCGCAAGCCGCGGCCCAAGGGAGACCAGCCGCTGCAATCCCTAGCCAGCTCGACCATTGGAACCGCTGGCCAGGAAGGCGCGCCGGAGTCCAGGCTGCCAGGAAGGAAGGAGATTCAGCAAAGGTAGGAGAGGAGAGCCACCTCCTGGGGTCCAGTGCTGGCGGCGGCTTCCTTGCCCTTCTCTTCCTCCTCCCCTTCTTCCTCCTGCTGCCCCCCAGGCGGCTCGGGCGGGCGCTGGGGCAAGAGGGGTGCCTGGGGGGGAGCAGCCAGGCTGGAGGGGCTGGCGGGCCGCACGGCACCAGCCCC